CCATCTTGTACCCACATTGGATGTGTTTCCATTGTTAGAAGATCCAAAGACGTAAGACAACTGTTTAACTCATGTGTGTACTCTCTAGTATTATGTGTGTGGAAGTTGGTGAAATTTCATATTATCGAAAATGAAACTTCCTAGATAGTTTAATTCTATTAGTCAACCCAGAAAAGACCAACTAAATACTAAACTATTGCAGTAAAATCAGTACAGAAATGGATCTCAGCTTCCGTTTCCTAAAAGGCTCTAGAAGTTAGTGCTAAGCAGTTTTTTTTGCATCAAATTACCAGTTTGTTAAGCTTTTCCTTGTAGCTGTGATACCAATAGTAATAAACAAGTTTCTGCATCTTTTTTCTCAAATGCAAGAAGTTTCAGCGTGAAGGGCGGGCCTGGTGCAAGCGGTAGAGTCTTACCGCCTGTGACCGGAAGGTCCCGGGTTCGAGTCGCGGTCTCCTCGCATTGCACAGGCGAGGGTAAGGCTTGCCACTGACACCCTTCCCCAGACCTCGCACAGAGCGGGAGCTCTCTGCACTGGGTACACAAGAAGTTTCAGCGTATATCCAACCTTCTAAATCGTGATAATTGATCTGTTTTGCAGGTATGAACCAAACACAATTGATCTTGACCAGGATGAGTTCAAGTATTCTTCTATTTCTCTTACTTGTATATATATAATACTATAATAGCAATTGAGTCCTTGGGTGATATCTGAGTTCATCGTTCTAGGTACTGGTTCAAGATTTTGTCAGATCATTTGCCAGACCTTGTGGACAAGGTATGATGTTGCTCTTGCAAAGACATCTGCATAGTTCATCTTTTCTTTATTCATGACAATGTGTTAAAAAAGGTATGCAAATGTCGTTCTCACTCACTCACTACAATCATCAAGCCATCCAAGACTGGGTTTCCAGTATTCGCTAATTTAATCAGATGTATCTCCCTCAGTTTCCGAATCCGCCTATAGAATAGAATGGCATCTCTGGTACAGTCAGCATGAGGCGGTCTGTAACCCCCATAAGGCTAGAACCACACCTCATATGGAGCAGAAATTGTATCACCCTTGATCTTATGTTATCCAAATCCATTTTCTTAAAAATATCTAATTTCTTTGTTGTTGGGTCCTTACAAGTAAGTATATCAAGCTGTAAACTGCCTACTATTTGTAGTTCGCAACATTATACACACCACCTTTTATCGGTTTCCACATAAGCAGGTATGCACCTGCCACAAATGTTTGCCAAAAGGAACAGAGACTCCCTTGTTAAGGGACTAGTTGCTGTTTCCAAACCTCAGTGAGCTTAGCTCCTTGACTGTAATGAAGGCGATATTTCCACTTCACTATCATCACAATCAAGTTTACATCGAGATTGCATATTTTGGGCTGAGATAGTACACATATGGTTTTTCATTTTGTCGTAACAATTTGCGAATTGAGGATATTTACCTGAATATCCATTTCTTGTCTGTTTGGGAGTAAATGGAATCCTGAAACAGTATATTCTTGGCTAACTTGTGCATTCTATCATTTGTAGGCAGTTGCTAGTGAAGGTGGGACTGATGATGCCAAAAGGCGGGGAGATGCATTTGCGCATGCCTTTTCTGCTCATCTGGCAAGGTAAAAAAATTGCTATTTCATGTCAATATTGCTCTCTCTCTTTGCTACCTAACTTGTGTCAGGTTAGATTGATGGAGGAGCCAGCTGCTTATGGAAAGTTTGGTTTGGTCAACCTGTTGGAGTTGAGGGAAGAATGTCTGAGAGAATTTCAGTTTGTTGATGCATATATTAGCATCAAGCAAAGGTTGGCTTCCTATATGTGCGCATGCATGCACACATGCTCTCATTTGTCTAACATTCTGGTATCTTCTGCTTGAAGGGAAAATGAAGCTTCACTGGCTGTTTTACCAGATCTTCTGATGGAACTGGATAGTATGAATGAGGTATATGACAGAGGGGCTTCTTTCTGCTTAATTCTGCACTTAACTGAAGTCATCTTAACATTTGCTTCTGTGATAGCTCAGGTTATCTACTTGTGATTATGCCAGTTTTCTATTGGCAGCATGTGGATGAGAAAACATGAGAAATTTTGGTTCATGCCATGATCATAAGTCCACGTTTAACAAAATACCACTAAATGTGTTTCTAGCAAAAGCAAAACATTCCAATGTCACTGTTAGGGGTATTTTGTCATTGTTGTTATTTTTCTTTTCACTCTGTAGCGAAGCTTCAACTCTAGATATTCATCTGAGTGTACATTTCATGGATATCCAGGAAGCTAGGCTGCTTGCTCTAATTGAAGGTGTCCTTGCTGCAAATATATTTGATTGGGGATCTCGAGCTTGTGTAGACCTTTATCACAAGGGAACTATAATAGAAATCTATCGCATGAGCCGCAAGAAGATGCAACGTCCTTGGCGGGCAAGTATTCCAAGTCTGAACTTTTTAAATGTTACAGTTGCATTGCGACCTCTGAGAGTTATAAAAAAGAGAGTTGTGCTGTCACAAACTATATCATTAACTTTATGTACTTTTTCTTGCAGATTGATGACTTTGATATGTTCAAAAAGAGAATGCTTACTGATAGAAAGGACCAACCATACAAAAGAGCACTGCTTTTTGTTGATAACTCAGGTGCTGATGTGGTCCTTGGAATGCTTCCTTTAGCTCGGGAGCTTTTACGCCATGGAACAGAGGTATAAATTGAAATGCTGAAAAGCTAAAGAGTTTGCCTTTTTTGTTAGGTTTGCTCCACACTGAATTTAATTAGAAAGAGCAGACAGAATGCTGGCTGCAGAGACTCAATCAAGGGAACACACGATATATTGCATGCTAATGTATATATCACATTTATTTTTTTCCTATTTCCTTCGTTGAAGATATAGACTGCATGAAAAAATGGAAAACATCCTTGGTGAACGTTGTGATAATTTCTAAAAGATCTTATTTGTGACAACCCAGAACTGATAAAAAAATGGAGATGATTTTAGCTGTCTGGCTGACCTCGTGAATTAACTGACTGAAGCAAACCTTCAAAATTCCATTTGGTGATTACTTATGGTATATCCAATTGTCATAAATTTTCTATTGATAGATAGATGTTTAATGTGATCAGGTAGTTCTTGTTGCAAACTCGTTGCCAGCTTTGAATGATGTTACTGCTAATGAACTTCCAGAAATTATAGCTGAAGCCTCAAAGGTACAAAGTAAATACAATCCCTTGCCACTTAGCTGTATTATCTATTGTTGTTAGCTCTAAGTTCATATATATAACTCAAATGATAATGTATCACAGCACTGTGGTATCCTTCGGAAAGCTGCAGAAGCTGGTGGGTTGATAGTTGATGCAATGGCTGGCATCCAAGATGATCTCAAGGATGAGCCAGTGTCAGTGCCACTAATGGTTGTTGAGAATGGATGTGGCAGTCCATGTATTGATTTCCGGCAGGTTAGCTCAGAGCTTGCTGCTGCTGCAAAGGATGCAGATTTGGTAAGGCTGCAGCATTTTTAGCTGTGCATTTTCTCATGCAAGAATCATTTGCAATGTTCTGTTATTTATAATATTGGTTTGCTTTCCAATATGATGCAGTTAATTTTAGAGGGCATGGGGCGGTCACTGCATACCAACCTGAATGCCCGTTTTAAGTGTGATGCTCTAAAGGTACTTGTTTCTGCAAACCTTACTCATTGGTTGCTACACAGGCAACCTTGATAGTTCTGATTGCAAGAAATTTCCTCATCTTAAAAAAAAAGGAATCATAGATTTTATATATAAGAAATTTGATGGTTAGATCAGTTTCAGATCATGACTACAACAATATTTTCAGTCATAGGCAATGGACTTCAAATATAATTGTAGTCATGACTCAGTCACACAGCACAAACAGCAGTATTTTTTTCTCTAGACACTCTGCACAGTCAACTCCGAATTCCAATTATTTTAATTGCCAATGTAGCTTCAGCTGAATCTGGAACTTCCTTACCTTTCTGTCAATTTGTTGGAGTCAAAGAGCAGAATCTTTGATAAGATGTCCCACCTAATCATGTATGCCATTTTAAAAAGTTTACAAGTCGAGCTTTTGTGCGCAGCTTGCTATGGTCAAGAATCAGCGATTGGCAGAAAAGCTCTTCAATGGAAATATATACGACTGCATCTGTAAATTTGAACCAGTTTCTTAACAATATGGTAATGCTCACTAATTTTGCCACGGCATTGCTTAAATCTGGTAGTTTTGACAAAGTGGGTATCTTTTCTTCAGTTTTATCACCAGTTTTCAGTTTTATCTTCTTGCAGCAACTAGCAGAAGCAACTTGATTGGTGCAGCCGGCGAGATAAAGAAACAATCATACTGCATACGGCATAATGGTCCTTCCAATGTAAGGGTTTCAAGAAGGCGCCCTTACAATATGCAGCTAGTCAGCATGTTCGCTTGTTGGTTTCAGCCAGCCCAAATCAGCCAGCCAACAATGTTTTTCTCTCATAATAAACCAGCACCAGCCAGTCAAAATCAGCCCAGAAATCAACCAGCGAACAAGCTGAGTGTCTGTGATAATAGTGTTGTCTCAAACGATATAATAAAGGCTTTAAAGGCCATTTCCAGAAATATTCAATGGAGAGGTTTGAGCCAGCCAACTGGTGTCCGTGTACCAGAAAAGCGAGAACTCGTTAGCAGCCTAGCAGGGCCAAAGTAACATACCCTGGAAAGATCTTATGCCGTGCTCGAATCAATCCAAGATTTGTTCACTTGCCGGGACAATGCCGTCACTCAAATGCTAAAAATCAGTTATTAGTTCTTGCATGGATGTTTTCAATTCTGAGAAAGACTGTCACCATGTATTTTAATCGGTAGTTAAATTGTACGGTAGAACAGATAAATCACTAAACGAGACGGTGCACAAGAGCAACAAGACAGGTAAAACATAAGAGACGAGAGATGTCTTCAGCATACACCAGTTGATCCACTAATCAACCAGCCGTCCGTCACTCCAGAAACTATCAGCTCTAGGCAAAGTTGATGTCATACGCCTTGCGGCCGTCCGCCCTGAAGATGCCGAAGTGGCGCTCGAACTCGGGGCCGGGCTTGCCGTCCTCGTCGTACAGGTCGAACAGGAACACCTCCACGGGCACGCCGGGCCGCTTGGGCGTGCCGACGCCGCGCGCCGCCCTCTCCACGATCTTGGCGTTGTACGCCGCGGCGTTCTGCGGGGTCGCGGCCGGGTGCCCCGCGGTCGGCCACCCGGTCTCGGTCACCGCGACGGGCACGGCACCGAACCCCTCCTTCTCCAGCGCGGCCACCAACGCGTCCACGGTGGCGTCGAACATGTTGGTGTACACCAGCGCGCCGTCGTGCACCGGCGCGGCGCCCGCGCCGAAGAGCGCGTACGCGAGCTGCACGTTGGCTGGGTCGTTCACGTAGCTGATGAAAGGGTAGGTGTTCACCATGAAGGGCGCGCCGGTGTCGGCCAGGAACTGCAGCATGGGGCGGAGGACGGGGAGGGAGGCCGCGTCGAACGCGCCGGCGGAGGGCGGGTACGAGGCGGCGAGCACCGAGGAGGCGTGCGCGGAGGAGACCTTGACCCTGCCGCCGAGCCCCAGCGCGGCGAGCGCGGCGTGCAGGTTCCTCATGGCCGGCACGAGGTGCGGCGCGTAGAACTGGTTGTTGTACAGCACCTCGTTGCCGACGGCGAGGTACCGGACGCGCTCGGCGGGGGCGTGGGCCAGGACCGCGGACCGCAGCCACCGCGCCGCGCCCTCGGGCCCCGACGCGGCGAGGAAGGTGAGGTTCTCGTTGGGCACGCCCACCATGAGGTCGATCCCCGCCGCGGCGAAGGCCGGGAGCACGGCCGGGTCGGGAAGGAAGAGCCGCGCCCTGGTGATCCCGTTCTGCTTGAGCAGCGCCGCCGCGGCCGACGGCGGTGGGAGGTTGCTGCCGACGCGGCCGTGGCAGATGCCGATCTTGCCCGCGTCACTGGCCGCCGCCGCCGCTATCGACGCGACGGCGAGGAGGACGTGGCCCAGAAGACACAACGCTGTTCTCGTGGTCATTGGTGAAGGAAGGAAGGAAGGAAGGAAGGGAAAGGGCCTAGGAAGGGGATGCCACGCTTTGGTTGTGTTGTCGCCGTTAAATAGAATTTTGCTTTGCCAAGAATAGTAGGGTTCTGGTTGTTTGTAGTTGTGGCGGCTCGAGGACGTTAAGGTTGAGTTGTGATTGACGAGGAATAAAAAGCGTGGGTCACTGCTTGGTTCTGATGCTTTATGGTTGTTCGATTGGCTGTTTGGCCCGGCTTGGTAGTGGCCGTTGACACATATAGCCGTTGGGGTTTTAAAATTTTGCTTTTGTGCTAGCGACTAGCCTCTCTCCAGTCTCCACTCTCCAGTAGTACATCTTTTGGAAGCAGAAGGAACGGCCGAACAGTACTGAGTATCCGACATAATGAACGTCCACTGGCACGCGGGGCTGAATTTTGAAATGGCCAGAAAGCACGTCCGCATTGATGAAGCGGTTGGTGTGACTGGAAACTCTCCGTGCGCTTCAGATGCAAATGCATTGATCAGGACGCCCGCACCATGGACGGCTCTCTCTTTGGCGTGGCAGCATCCCTGCGCGGAAAAAAAGAGTTCTATGCAGCTGCGTCGCACGCCACTCCCGCTGCAACAACGCGTAGAAGAGCGACGCGTGTCCCGCTGGCCCACCAGGCGAGACGGCACACACACCATCTGCGTGAGTTGAGCCGAGGCGTCGTCCTTCCGAGCCGAGTCTGCTGCTTCTTCAAGGCAGCTCGATCCAAAATCAAGTAAAGCTGCTCCCCTCGTCCATGGAAATCCTTCGGTGCTCCACTAGTCCATCGGCCGGGTGAGGTCCGATGGTGAGGAGTCGTGGCTTTTGTTTGAATCGATCAGCATGTTCGGTTGGCTGATTCGTATTGTTCTTGGATTCGTTTACGTGAGAGAAAAATATTGTTGGCTGATTTATATAAACAGTGATCATGTGAGGGGCTGGCCAGCCCAGCCAGCCAGCCCCAGCCGATCACGCGTTGAGCCGCAGGCAACAAGGGCGAGAGGCTAGCAGCAGTGGCAGGTCGTCGAGTTGTGCGCTTGCATGGGCGTCCGTCGACCGGTGAACGGCGGCGGCGGCAGCGGATCCTCCGCCTTCTTCTCTCTGCCTCTGTACCTAGTTTCAAATGTGAAATGCTCTGTTGATTTCCTTTACAGGTGGTTGCATTTGCGGTTGTTGAGCACTGAAGGTGAGCAGCGAGCGACGCCTTGTGCAGTGTTTGTCGAAATTACAGACCCAAAAAACTGAATGAGCTATGTCAATGAGTACAGTGGTATGCTCCAGATCCTTGTTATCTTAGACTGTCTCCAACGGGAGACTCATCGTAAAAACCAAACCCAAAATGGATCTCCAACGTAATACCTACAGTCTCCAGCAGAGTATCTATATGGAAGATCCATTTTAGGTGCCGGGAGAGGCATAATCTAAATCTGAGTATGCTCTCTCCTGATGATCCATTTGCAGAAATGGTAGTCTTTTGGGTCTTATTGTTGGAGAAAACCAAAAATAAATAACGAACCTTTTGCCTGTAGCGCTACCTAAATGACAAATGTGTCTTGTATTTTAGGTCGTGGTTGTTGAAGACAGTCTTATCAACGTTTCATGTGTCAGATGCTGCTAGAAGTAAGCTGTAACAGAATCGACCAATTATACGAAATTAAGTAAGAAAATCATCCGCCAGAGCAGACGATTTAACAAACTTAAGCCCGTATAACCCGGTAGTCCGTGAAATCACGAAGGATTTCAAACCAACTCACATACCAGCCAAGATCGTAATAAGTTTAGCGGTTACCATCACATATTACATAAAAGTTTACATCACCGGTACATCAGAGTTTAAACATAGTTATTACAAAACGAGTTCAAATAGAAGTAGCGGAAGCCATTTGTTCAAAACCACACACACTCACACGGAGTTCAAATACAGTGCCAGCTGATGATCATCTCCAACAAAAGCATTAGACGAGACGTAAGGAATGACCATGCCCATGGTCCTAAGCATCACCCATCGCAGGATAAAGGCAATTGATACAGTAGCCGTAATACATCTGTTCATCTGCAACAAGTGGGAATAAAACCCTGAGTACGAGAATGTACTCAGCTAGACTTACCTGACATAACTGAAAATAAAGTGACACCAAGGATTATGAAGGGCTTTATAGTAGGGTAACTGACTCATTTGCAAAAAGAGGCATTTTTAGTATTTCAAGAACCTTTTCAAAAATATTATTGTCAAGTTACTTATTATTAACCTGTCGACTATATTTGCACCTATACTAGAGCAAGCATGTGATTAAGTAAATAATGATAACCAATGATCACTAACAACTTCCATAATGTCATATTCATTATAACTGTCTAAGTGTTCCATCAACATTACTACGATGAAGTCACTTAAGTCAAGTGCTCACTATCTAGGAGCGATGGCGATTCGAATCGATTCCTAACCAGCTAGTGATTTATTCCTTACACAAACCTCACTCATCCGCTAAAGTAATGTATCGGTCACCGAGTCAACTATCCAGAAAAATCTCGAGTTTGCCAGGAACCACATGTACCCGGGGCCGACCGACTGCCTTTCGGTCTTATCATCGCGCCCCCATGTCCTACCACACCTGCTCCGGTACAATGCGCTGCGGGCAATCTACTTGGTCCGAATAATCTACCAGCTTCGCGGTCGAAAGGTACTTTATTCGGCCAGCTAAATGTAAGGCATGCGTTCAACATGACTCGAGGCCCAACAACGGTCGGTCCTTAATCGACACAGACGAAAAGCACTACAGTCCAAAACTCTGTAAGTCTCCGTCCGGTCTCAACTTTAATTAACACTTAGTATACCATGACTATATAGTTATCCAAGCAGATCCAGGTAACCACCTATAGCTCGTAGGTGATAGGAAATCACCCGACTTCTACCGATCTAAGCCAACTAAGCATTGACTCGACTACGGATACCAGGGTAACAAGGATATAGTATAACAAAGGTAGACAAGATATAATGCAGCAACGGCTGCAAACAACTCCTGAACGTAATGCATCAATTAAAGTAAAACATTTAATTAATAATTGCAAAAAGGGGAGAAAAATGTTCCGGGGCTTGCCTCTCTCGAAGGAGCTCGGACGGTGATCGGGGCACTCCGGAAGTTCCTTAACGTCCTCCTCGTCTGTTTCGGTCACTTCCTGCGGCTGCACCTCAAGCTGCTCCTCGGGCTCCTCGGGTATGATGACCGGGCTCTCGGTTTGCGATCCTGTATGATGCAGGTGCGTAAACGCTTATACAAAAGGTGCATCGGATGAAATGGACACAATGAAGGTGCTTGCATGCAAGGTAGTCAACATCATCCAAGAACATGTACTACAAGCACATGTTATCTACTGCATTCTCTTCTACTACTAATATGCTACGTCAACACATCTCATTAATCATGCATAAAGCAACATTTGATTAAACCCTAATTAATAATAAGTTTGAATAACAACATCTATTTTTATAGCATAGAAAAATCTTAGAAAATTACCATAACACAGTACTACCCTAAGTAGTCTACCATTAAATTTTTATGGCATTTGGATAAGTGGATTAGCCTACACAAAAATGACAAGCTATGGCATAATTATGATCATGAAAATACTTTGCACTATGAAAAGTGTCAAACAATAGATGTAATATTTTTCCTATGTTCTACACAGTAAATAATCACTGCACAAAAATTATCACATGCATATTTTATACAAATTTTGCTTTCTAGCAAAAAAAACAAAAATCAGTCATTAAAGACACTTGAACTACACCTCATAATTTTTCTACAGGACATGCATGGCATATATTTTTCCTAGGAAGTACATTACACAAGAAGAGTAACAAACTTGGAATCATATTTTTCTGATACATATAGGATTTACTAAACATTTTACAAGATATCAGTAATATCAAGAATTAAATAAAGCTCTACATTAAAGTATCTCAAACATGACATGCAATATTTTTATCATGTAGATCTGGTAACAGGGAACCTAGCAAAATTTGTTTCAACAAATTTGGAGCCATTTTGAGCAAGTTATAAATTTCCAAAGCATTTAATGTAAATCAAAAATCATTTCCTAAATCCTTAAAAAACCAGCCGATGAAAACGCTGGTGCACCCCAGCAAAGCACCTGCACCCGAGTCGCGGACGAGCGGGCCCCCACGATCAACGGCCCCCACCTGTCGGTCAGACCGAGACAGGGGCGGAGCTGACCGGCCAGCTCTCGCCGACGGTGAGCTAGCCGGTGGCGCGGCAACCACCAGCATCTCACCCGCGACGAGGCGGACGTGGTGCACCAAGAGAAGGCATGGGAGGAGCTCGGAATGGAGCTCGGCGGCATGCATGGCGGAGTGGAGGCATGGCTTCGTCGGCGGTACGCCGACTCCGGCCACGGCAGGGCACGGGGAGGCGCGCAAGAGTTTCGCGACGGCAAGGTGGTGCTCATGCGCTCGAAAGGAAGGAGAGAGGTGTAGCGGAGAGGGGCTGCCCGCGCAGAGCCAAGCTCCGACGAGGAAGAGCTTACTCCGGCGAGGAATTACCGGCCGAGAAGACTTACCACGGCGAAGACTCGAGCACCGGTTGACGAAAGGTGGAGGAGATGCTGCTGGCGAGATGGAGATGGCTCCGGCGCACTGGAGCGGCCGGAACGGCCAACTCCGGCGATGGCACGCGGCGGAGGCGAGTGTTGCGGCTGCTGCTGGCGCTGGCGGAGGCGAGAGAGCGAAGTGGAGGAGTGAGGAGGAGCGCAGCGTGGTCAGGCAGATGAAGGCGCGACAGAGGGCGCGGGCAGGCGGTAAAAGCAGCAAGGCAGCGTGCTTCGCCGCCGCATGATGGCGGCCACGTGCGGCGTCTCTGTCATGGCCGGGTGAGTCTTGTGGCGACAGGCGCGCGCGGAAGCTGAGCAGCTGGCAGGCGCGAGTAGGCAGGCCGGCTTATGCAAAATAGGCAAGGCGGCGCGTGGCCCA